ATATATATATATATGTACATATACATATGTATATACACATAGGTGGTTAACACCTAGTTATATGTATATACATACAACCCGGTAGTGGTATTACTTTTCGTTTGCCGTGGGGCAGAGTTTTTAATTCTGCTGTTCATTTGATTGATTTGTATGCGTTTTTATTTCCAGCTGCGTCTGATCGATTGGGGTTTGGCGGAGTTTTATCATGCACGCCAGGAATACAATGTGCGAGTGGCATCACGTTATTTCAAAGGGCCTGAACTTCTTGTTGATTACCAGGTAGTTTCATTCGTTTCTCATTCATTGTTCGTTGCTTTTGGAATGTTTTTCTATGCTGAAGAGGTAGTAATTTCATTTTGCAGTGCTACGACTATTCGCTGGATATGTGGAGTCTTGGATGCATGCTTGCGAGCATGATTTTTAGGAAAGAGCCGTTCTTCCATGGCCACGACAATTATGATCAGGTTTGCATACAGATATTAATGTTGATTTTTTACATGGAAATAAGAAATTGCTGTAATTTCTCATACAGCGCATCTTTTCCACACAGTATTGCACTTTGTGCTACAACTTGCCAGATTTTTGCGACTTACTGCTGTTGGCTCCTTTTCTTAAGCTGACGAACAGTGTATCCTAATTTTCACTTATAGAGGAAGTGGCATCCTGGCGAGGAACATTAGAGGAACATAGAGGAACGTAGAGGAACTTATAGAGGAACATTTCTTACCTACTTTGATAATTCTTTACAACCCTTTCATCGGTTTTTGCTCATATTTTCTCTCTAACCTAAAAAGAGGCGGGGAAGGGAGGGCTAGTAGTATAAACTATGTATGTGACGAAGGAATAAGATATGCAACATTTACATTAGCATTACAATTGATCATTGTGATTTTCCCGTCTCAAATGTGACCGTCGGATTCTAAGACGCTTATATTTATAATGCTAATTTGCAAGAAACTAATTTATAATTTGCTTTTCAGTTAGTGCGAATTGCAAAAGTGCTTGGAACAGAGGAACTTTTTGAATACATAGACAAGTACCAGATCGAATTGGACCCCCGTTTCAATGACATTCTTGGCCGGTAAGTGCTTTCTTTAGACACACTTGGCCAGAGAATGTACTGGCAAAACTTCAGCATCCCTATTCTTGCTTGCAGGGATTGTTGGGCTGAAGTACCTGGATAGACGAACACATACATACATACGTACGTACAGACACACATACATACATACATACATACATACATACGTACATACATACATACGTACATACATACATACATAAATACATACATACATACATACATACATACATACATACATACATACATACATACATACATACATACCGTACATACATACATACATACATACATACATACATACATACATACATACATACATACATACAATAATAAGTTATACATAAATGCATACATACATACATACACAAATAGAGTCGTCACAATATGCGTTTTTGCTGACTGTTCCAACATTTTGTGGCCCACTCCCCTACTCTTTTCCGGCTTGTTTTGTAAGGTGACAAAGTATGGTTGGCTGACATGGTGGCGGAAGTACTACTCACACGTTGGTACGATCGGGGTTTAATCCCACCCCTGCATTTTCCTATTGCATGCACGATTGGTGCGGTC